GGCGCTGGGGCCGAGACGGAGCCGCGGGCTGCGGGATGAAGCGGGGAGCGCCGGGCTCCAGGCCGGTGATGGGACCCCGCCCTCACGGCCGCTCCGACCAGAGGCGCCCAAGTTCTGCCGGGCTCTTTCCTTCACCCCCACGTCCTATCTATCGGGAAATTGTATTAACTCTACTTTCAAAAATTAGTCAGAATCCAACTACTGCCCCATTCCTGTCCCTACTGGTGCAGCTGCACCCGCTTTCGCTGGGGTTGCTTCCACAGCCTCACGCCCGTCTCCCGGCTTCACCCTTGACCCCCAGCCTGCTTGCAACAGGGCCACCCAGAGGTCTGTTTGGAAGGGCAGGTACACCAGTCACTCCCCGAGCACACCTTCCCCTTCCCACAGCTCCCTACGCTCCTCGGCGGCCTCCCAGGCCCACGGGCCCTGCCTGCCGCCTGGAACTCACTCCCTGCCGCCTGGAACTCACTCGCGTGCTCCCCGCGTTTCCTCCACACCAGGAATCCAATCAACAGTCAGCAGAATGCGCTCCTGGGAACGGGTTTACCTGCCCTTTAAGGTCAGTGGGTCATCTCATTTGGGCTTTTGTTGTTTTTTTAACTCTTTTTTTCTAATCAAAGTAACACCCACACTTACTGTAGGAATTTTGGAAAGTTATGAAAATTCTGCAGAATAAGTATAAGTATAAAACCGTTCACTGTGGCACAGCCAAGGGGAAATGGTGCGTCAGTATGACCGGCCGCCGCGCAGGTACTGCAGGTACAGGGCACACCTGCAGCGTCTCACATGGGGAGCTATCACGGTACAGAGTTAAATGAAAAACGCTGATTTGTGAGCTGGCCATCCTGCCCCTCCCCCGTCTATGTGCACAGATTTCATGATGTTTTGTTCTAAGTCCACGTGTGACAGAGAGTGGGGTTGGGGTGGTGACAGGAAATCCCACCTTTTTAGTTTGGTTTCTTTTGTTTTTTTTCTTGAACTGGGAAGAAGGGAATCCCTCTCTGCCAGAAACAGGAAGAAAATGAAGAGGGAGGGACAGCCTTGGGGGCGAGGTGGGGGATGGAAGACGTGACACAAACCCAGGGCTGGGGTCTGAAGCCCTGCAGGTTCGAGGGAGAGGGTGACAGCTGATACTTCGGTGACAAACACACTGCCCTGTCCTGGAGAGTCAGAGCGCATGGGGCTCCAGTCATTTCCTCTTCTGGTTTCTAACTACACCCAGTCCCCAGGTGATCTCACCCGCTTCCTTATTTTAAGTCCCATCGCATAAACACGTATGACTCCAAAATTCATATCCCAGCCCAGCCTCCCCTCCTGAACTTCACTCATGGACCCAATGTCTTGCTGGGATCTCCACAGATGTCCTGCCTGGAGTCCTCCTGCTCCCTCCTGTGAACTTGCTCACGGACATCGAGGGCAACTCCCCTTTCTGGCAGCTCAGGCCAAAAGTCTGCAGGTCATCCTCTGCGCCTCACCTCTCTCACACACCCTCATCTTAACTGAAGTGCACCATGCGATTGTTTCCAGAGAAAATTAAACTCAATACACAACTTGAAACTTTCATAGAAATGGAAACAATTCCTTACCATGCTACCCGGGTCTCTATCAGCTCGACTGAGTTCGAAAGCATTTATCTTCCGGGCACTGATTTCATCGGTGTCTGCGATGACGTAGTGTCTAGGAGAGTAAGCACTGGACAGGTGCTCCAGCAGCCTCAGCAGCTCAGTGGTGTGCCCACCTGGAAAGACAAGGGGAAGGCCTTAGACGTTAGACATCTACTTGACTACATTATACTGATGTTATATTCGAGGTATTTCTCCAAAGCAGAAGGAACCATGGGAAACAGTAATCGGTGCCCTTGTGTGAATACGACTTTTATGTGGGGAGGAGGAGAACAAATGTATAAAAATAAAACCAGCACTAGCAGGTGCTGAGGAAGGGACAGAGAAGGGTCAGACACGGCTCCCGTTACCAAGAAGCCCAGGGGAGAGGGGGCAAGACACACACAGACAGAGAGCGATGCCGGCCGGCGAGAAAAGTAAAAATGACTATGAGAAACCAAAGCCATGGAGTCAGGGGAGATCCCTGGTGAAGGTGGAGAAGACTCAGAGGTGAAGCTAATAGGAGCAGGGGGGCCCCTGGGTGGGGTGGGATTTTAAGGACTTGAGATGGCAAGATCTAAGGCGTGTGTTCACGGGGTGGTGGGTGAGGGTGCAGCAGGGTCAGGAGAGTAGGTGGAAAACGGGGAGCCGGCCAGGCAGGTGCGGCTCAGTTCGCTGAGCGTCTTCCTGTGACCAGAAGTCGCGGGTTCGATTCCTGATCAGGGCACATGCCCGGGTTGCAGGTTCGGTCCCTGGAGAGGCAACCGATCCGTGTTTCTCTCTCTAAGCATCGTTCCACCTGCGTGCAGCCTCCGCGCTCCTACATGCGCAGTGTGACCTGTGTCCCCTGCAGCTGCCACTCAACCCTGACGCCTGCGGGGCTGGGGACCCCGTTTGCACGTGTCCCCTGGCAGGACAGCCCGCGGCTCCTACTGGGGCAGAAAGTCCTCAGCGCGGCTGCCCGACGGTGCTACGTAACTGTTTCATCCTCGCGGACTTTGTATATTTATAAACACGACGAGTCGCCTCGCCGCCTCTATCGTGATTCCCAAGCTGAATACAAACGCCTGGATTAATCACGCGAACCAGCCCTTCAGTATCCAGGGAAATTGCAGGTCAGCATCAAAAGGCTTCTGCGTCCTGTCTGTTTACAGATCATTTATTGGAAAACTATACGCTGCAGAGGGGCTTTATTACCGACGAGGGCAATACACTCCTACGTTATTCAAGTCGAGGCCCGGAAGCGCCAGCCCACCCGCAAGGTGCCTGGCTGAGGGCTGGTTCCGGCGACGCAAGGAAACTACAACTCCCAGCATGCAACGTGCACAGAGCGCTAAGGAGATCAAAGGACGGCGTCGCAGTGCACTCTGGGGGTTGTAGTCCCGCCCCATACTTACCGGACCCGGCCACCGCCATAAGGCTGAGAGACTCCCGGGGTACGACGACCCGTGAGTGAAGCACGAGCCACAGCCGCAGGGCCAGGACCACGGCCACCGCGCCTGCCGCCGCCGCCAGGAGAAGGAGGCACCCCATTCAGAGGAACTACGCATGCGTGCTGGCCTCTGGCCAGTCCTGAAGAGCGGTCAAAGTTCAGGAACTACGGGCGCTGAGGAGACTCAAACGCGGCGAGTCCAATGTCGTGCTGGGCGGGTCGAGGGCCAGAGGCGGAAGTCCGGCCTCTGAGGACTTCGGAGTCTGCGCGGAGGCCGCGGAGCGGAAGCTCATATCCGGAAGTTAAGCGCTGGCGGCGTTGGATTTCCGCCCGGGAGAGGTCAAGTGCCCTGGAGGCCCTGGAACTCCCCGGGTAGCAAGGCGTCCCAGCTACACCAGCCCCGCCAATTCCACGCGAGGCGCGGGGGCATTCCACGCCTCTGTTGTCTTTTCTTTTTAAAACACAAAGGGACGTGTTTCTGTCGCACATGCATTTACTGAAAGTGTTTGGCAGTGGAAGGCACTTTGGTACAAGGACTTAAGGGCTCATCCTTGTGCCCACTCAGCGCTAACAGGAGTCCCCAGGCGGGGCGCAGCACGAGGAGGGACTTTAGGCAGGTGACCTGCCCGCACACCCGGGAAACGACCTCGAACCCCGGAAACCAAGGCACGAGGCTTCCTTTTATAAAGCCCTGCCCCGGTTCCTGATTGGTCCGCCTTTATGCAAATGAGCAATTCAAATTTGCACAGTGTGGTTGGTCAAAATAGCACCGTCCTGATTGGTTGGAATCACAGGTCCTGATTGGGTGTTGTGGAGCTGCTCTGATTGGTCTGCTCAGTAAAGATGCACCTGAGGCTGTAGCTGTGCAGCTCTGATTGGCCGGGCGGGTCTCAGCCCATTGGTGGCCGGCCGACTCCAGCGCCGCCTTTATAAGGCCGGCGCGGGGCAGCGCGCGATGGAGGCGGCTGCGGTCCGCTCGCGTCCGTCCCCTCCGTGTGCGCTGTGCATGCGAGGCTCCCGCAAACTGTGGCCGCTGAACTCTGGCGATGACTTTGGGCCCAGTGACCCCCCGAGGAGTCCTTCTTGGCAGGTATATTCCTTCTCAGGGCCCGCAGCCCAAATCTCGTCTTTCCCGCCACTCGTGCCTTTGACCCTCGTGGGCGATCTGGCAGCTCTCAGGCCGTGTGAGCGCGTGGCCCGCGACAGCGCCGGGTGCGCCCCATCCGCGAGGGTGGAGGCTCGGTGCTCAAGGTAGCGGGACTCCGACCGCGTCGCCCTGCAGTTTCCATCCGGTTAATCCTAACGCAAAGCCGCCCCGCCCCCACCCCACTTTTGCTTTTTTTGCCTCTGGTTAACCCACGTGGCAGCGACATGAAAACGCTGGGCTTGGAGAGGCCCTGCACCCGGGTGTGGTTTGCCCCGGCCCCCGCAGGCCGGCAGGTTGGACGGAGTGTGTTCTCCAGCGCGGCCGCGCTCAGTCGTCCATCACCGACGCCCAGCCTGCGTCCTCTCCGTAAGGCCACCAGGTAGATGTCATTCCCCCCGTTGCAGGCAAAGCAGTGGGTGCTCTAAAAGTGAAACACGTCTCCTAGGATTAGTTAGAGGCGAAGGAAGGTTGTAGTTGTGGGCTTTGGCGTCAGCGCCGCTCAGGTTTGGGTGCAGCCAGAGTCCCCTGGGCTCCCCGACACAGGGTTGGAAGCGCAGAGGTCGGGCCTCCCGCACAGTCTGAAGAACAGCTTAAGGCTGTTACACAGGGTGCAGTTTCCTCTCGTCTGCCCCTCCTGCCATTCCCAGCGGCGGCTTCAACTCCAGACTCGCTGCTCCCCTCATCCTTAAAGGGAGGTGTGAGTGGTCTCAGAAATTACGTCCAGACAAGGCCATCTCCAGAGCCAAAGGAGAGGTTCTCTTGCCACTGGCTCTTTTGAAGGGTGAGGAAGCCTTTTCCAGAAGCCCTCGGCAGACTTTCAGCCCTTCTGGCCGTATTAGAATCCTTCGTGAAGGAATGAGGCTTCGGGGCTGGCTGGGGTAGGGCAGAGGATGACATACAGCTCACCTGTTGCTGCAGGTCGTTTGATGGAGGGTGGGCCCTGGACAGAATGGGCATTCTCTTGGAGAGGAGGAAGGTGGAGGAGGGTGGAGGAGACGTGATTGTTGGGTAGGCAAATAGCAGTGTTTGGGTTGCCGTGGCGGTAGTGTCTGAGATGGCTTTGTAAACCAACACTGGCAATACGGATGCCAGGCCTATTAAAAGCTACTAGGCTCCAGGCCCCGGAAGACATCCTCACCTTTCCCATTGCCCCATCCCTTTATTGCCATCGTTACCTGTATGTAGGGAAAATGAGTTTGACCAGATTTGGCTTGCAGCCCACATGGATGGGGGTGACCACACATTTAGAGGCTGCGAGTAAATGCAGAGAATCAAAGAGGGTGGAGTGTCAGGCGTTGTCTGCAGTTGTGGGTTGAGTTATTTTGGATTAAGGCTAGGGTCAGACTCTTTGGTGTTCCTGACAAGGAAGTTGAGGGCTGCAGGGAGGAGCAGGCAGGGACCGGAACAAAGCTGGGAACCCTGTACATGGCAAGAACTTCCAAGGAGCTGGAGGTGTTGAAAGAAGGAGGAATGGTTTGGAGGCAGCGATAGGGATCAGGAGGCTGCAGCTCATGCAGGAACATGGGAGACATTCCAAAAGAAACCAAGGATACAGGGAAACTCACAGGTCACGGATCAGGAGGACCAGGCGGTGCAGGGACAGGGTTTGAAGGGTGGTGAGGAAGGGGAGTTGGGTCAGATTGGGGGTTTACAAGTAACTGCAGAGCTAAGAGTCAGGATGACAGTGGGGGAGGCTCCTGGGGACTGAAGTAAACAGGGACCAGGCCAGGCTCTCAGTTCATTGCCGTTCAGTCTGATTCACACCTCTTGGGTCCTCACTGGGCCAGGCCCTGGGGTGCAGGGGCGAGGCAGCAACAGCTAACACCCGGCAGTGACTTAACAATGAGCCTGCCTATGGGAGCCGCATACTCCTAACAGGGCCTTCTGGAGAAAAGCACCCAACCCACACCTGCATGGGCTGCCTTGGAGTATGGGCTGCTGGGGGTCCTGGCAGCCGGGCCCCTTCCCACTAGAGTCCATCAGCCTTCAGTCTTCAGGAGGGCAATAAGAGTGTGGGTAAGGAAGACAGAAGCTTTTCTGCAAGAGCCAGGGAGCCCGCTGTGGTCAGCATTGTGTTCACCCATGACAGGTAGGGGCAGCTGGAGGGGAGATGACACGGTAGGGGCAGCTGGAAGGGAGTTTTTGGTCTCAGCCAGAGAGAGAGCTGTGGCCACCAGCACCACTGGCTGCATGCCTTCCATTGAAGGTCTTCTGCAAGGTTGGGTTGGGTGGGTGACAGGTCATCTTAGTTGTAACGAAGGCCTTTTCTTTCTCTGTCAAATATGCTAGTCTATGTTTAGGTCGCAACGTTTTCCTGGATGAGTCACTTCCCGGAGCTGCTTGAACGCTAACCCTGCAGGCTGAGGCAGTTGTTAATGTGCTTCATCGGCATTTACTGTGTGCTTGCTATACGCCAGGCACTTAGAACATGAACTAAGTAATTTAGTTCTGACAGCAACACCGTGAGGCAGGCATTATGATGACCCACATTTTATAAATGAGGACATCAAGGGACAGGGAGATCATGTCATTTGCCCTGGGTCATGAGGCCAGGAAATGGGAGTCAGGATTCAACCAAATTCCCATTCGTACCTTCTACAGTGTGGTTGAAGGTATTACAGAGTATTTATACCAGCTGCCATGCTATATATGCAGAGAAAGCAAGACAGAAATGTAATACTCGCTGTGCCTGAACTTTTATTTATAAAACTAAAACTAAACATGAGGAAAGGGACACGTTCCGCCCACCAGTGAGGAGGCATCTGTGTACTTCAACTCCCTCTCACCACTCCCGTGAACCTGAGTGCTGTCATTACCCTCATTCTGTAGGTGAGGAAACTGAGGCTTTGCCACGCTAACCCCATGTTGCTGGCGCTCTGAGTGGACCTCCTGTGGACGCTGTGGCCATCTCGTGGGCTTCAGGGATCCCGGGATATCACTCAGGGAAGAGGGTGCCCTTCGCAGAGAGCACGCTGAGAAGAAGGGATAAGAGGAACGGAGCTTACAGATGTGCTGCTCCAAGGTCAGTGTTGGTTCCTCTTGGAAGTTTTGTGTAAATAACACCAGACACACCTTACAGCAGTGGGTACAGAGCTGCAGGAACCTGGTTTCCTCTCAGCGTCTCCGTGACTTATTTAATATCCTGCTCATCTTTCAGTGACACTAGGCGCCCTCCACTCATGGTTAGTCCTTTCCCGACTTGTTACACGAGGGCTTGTTAACTCCCTACAGATGTTTTTGCTGGAAGTCTCACATGATGTAGCCACACTTAAAGAGTCCCTACTTCATCTCCGAACCCCAGTGGTGCCCTTGCTGATCATGACTGTTTTGAAGTAAGTTAAAAGATAACCGAAAAGAACCTGAGAAAGCCAATACTTTGTAATGCTTGATTTATATTTACTGAGGGAACTGAAATATCTGTGCTTTTAACTTAGAACTGTAAAATAATCTGAATCTGCTTTTCTGAAAAGATGCTATAAACTCAGCAAAACCTTTTGTGGTCAGTTTTCTCCATCAATTATGGTCTCTTTCCTGAATTCTTTAACCACTGACTCTCCCAGTGTCTCTACCCGTAGCTTATAAAACTCCAGTCTCATCATTGAAAATAAAAGGAGATCAGTGAGACCTCCCTGGATCAGTCTGGCTCAGCATAAGGCCTTTAAACGCCCAGCCCGGCATAGCCTGGCCACAGCGAGATGCACTCCTCCCCTGAACCACACCTCCTGCCTTTGCCAGGGTGATTTTCCACTCCTGGCCTGTTCTTATGCCATTAGCTGTTTGAAGGAACACAGGCTTCTGGTGAGCACAGAGCAATGTTTCAGAGGCTGAGAGCTGGGCATTCTGAACCTGTGGCCAGGTACATGGACGTCCCCATGGCATACAGAGGAGGCATGGCTCTCCCAGCACTACAGAAGTCAGAGATTGAGTGACACAAGCCTTGCCCTAGTCTGACACTGTCCTGTGCATACTGCGTACCCCTACACTATACTAGCCCGAAGAGGGTCTAAGTGTCTGAGAGCTTGGCTGGATTCATGCTGAACAACTTGCCCCTACGAACACAGCCAGACTCTGTCTTC